GCGACTTGAAGACTGGCAGACTCAAGTGAGTTAAAATTTCTGAGCATTCAGTCACAGCAAACAGGCATTTCCTGTGTGGTACAAATTCCACAGGCTAAATTGCATCAAATTTAGTCATTAAAGTATACACAGGAGGGGCAGCATTTGTGTTTCCACCACAGGTGGGAAAAAGCCCTGGGCTGGCCCTGTGGGAAAGTGGCCTGAGCAGGAGGAAAGTGTATGTGTAGGTAGCCAGGATACCATGCAGGCGGCAGCTTAGAGTAACAATCTTTCCTGCAGGCGTCGTCTTTGCCTATGTCCATCATCATTGTGGGAGTAGGCCCTGCTGAATTTGGAGGTAAGTACTGCCCTTTTCCAGATGTATTATGGATGAACAAGGAATTGGATTCTTTGAATCAGATCGACTGGTTTGATCCTTTGGAGAACCGACAAGGTGGCATGACAACAGGGCAGGTTGTCTACTGTTGGCACTTCGCCCCTGATCTGAGCTTAAACCTGGAGCAGCGGGGTAACCAGAAAGTCTACCTTGCATTGGAGAGCAAGGCTATAAACCTGATTGTCTGTCTTGCATTTGCCCTGGAGCTGGGGGTGCATGCAGGAATAGGCACTTTAAGACAGCCTTCCCCAACTCTGTGCCTTCCAGACATGTTTGGACCACAATACCCAGAATTCCCAGTTAATGGCTATACTGGATGGGAATTCTGGGAGTTGCAGTCCAAATGCCTCTGGAGGTCACCAGGTTGGAGCAGGCTGCTTTAAGAGGAATCCTGTTCTGGAATATGGGTTTAAGAATCAGAATTATCAAAAAAGGGACACCAATCTGCTTATGATTTACATATCCTAATTTTATATAGAATTGCAAATTTAGATAGTTATAATTATTTAAATAGAAATGCAACACATCTCCTTATAGTGTGGAAGAGGGTGACCAGGTAACCTACATGTCTTGCTCAAGAGGCTGCCCAGTGCTGTCGATGGGCAGCTTCAAGACCCACATTTTCTTCTGGTGGCTCTTTATCTTTAATCTGGTCTTGGGCAGTACAGACTTTCAAACAGAGGACCTTCCTCTGTAAGAAAAGGATAGATGACCACCCTACGGGTGGTTGCAGTGACAGCTGATGTTAGCACTCATCAATATTGTGTTGTCCTTAGCAATGGAAGAGCTGGATGGAGATGAAGTGCGGGTCTCCTCCAGGGGGCGCTACGCCGAAAGGGACATTGTGCAGGTAACGATCCTGGGAGAAGATGGCTGACAGGGCTGGCCAAGGGGAGGTTCTCCATTGAGCTCTTTGCACCCTGGCTGATTTTCCTGTAGTCCTGCTTACAGTTTGCAGCTACACAAGAAGGTGCTGGAGCGTCTGTTTCCTATGGGCCCCACCAGGGTGGTTATTGCCATGTAGAGAGCATTACCAGAGCCATGCATTTAAAGACGTCTTCCAGTGTTTATCACCACAACCTCAGTCAGTGGGAGCAAAGGCAGTCGTTTCTTCTTGCCCTACCGTCATCAGTGCCTTCAAACCTCACTTATCTTGCAAGCAACTGCCAGAATGACTGAATAGTCTTTGTGTGCTTGGGCAAGAGATAGTTTTACTGCTTCTCCTGGAGGCAGAGTTCTGTGCCTCAGCCCATAACTTGTGATCCTCCGTTCAGAGCAGAGAGATCCCATTACTTGATAGACGTAAACATTTCAGCATTTCCTATTGCCAGTCTGAATATTGGTGAGATTTCTTTCTTTCACTATAGATCTGCTTTATTTGCCTTGTAGATAAGTATGAAACTATCACCACCCTGTGAAGCAGGGCTGAACAACTTGTGGTCCTTGGAATGCTTTGGCCTGGCCTACACTTCCCATCAGCCCTAGTCAGCCTAGGCAATGGTGAGGGGTGAGGGGAGTTGTATGTCAAAACATCTGGGGGAATATGACTTGCCCACTCCTACTGTGAAGAAAATGCCCATGCATGCATAGGGGTTAAGCAGCGGAATCCAAACCATCTGGTTTGGCTTTGTGGACACTGCAAGAGCAAGTCTGTCCCTCTAATCCTAACTGACCTGCGTCCGACCTCTTACAAATCATGTGTTGACCTGAAGAGAAGCTGAGATCTAGTAAGGGCCTTTGAACTGATCTTTCAGTTCAGCTCCCATTTTGCTTACTTAAATTGCTAGTGGCTACAGAGGAAAAGGGAAAAAACATAAGAAGTACTTTGGGTAACTTGAGAAAGAGCATAGTTCATGAGTGGGTGATAAGACTCAAATGCACAGTGGGAATCTATCCTTCTTACATTGGCCCAAAAAGACTGAGTTGAAAAAGGTGGGCTGTTTCCCTCCATTTCGCTGCCACAGCCAATGCCAAAAGATACTGGATGGATTTGGGGATCTGTCTGAACACCCACTCTTGTCTGTCTTTCCTGCTCTTTGCAGTTTGTGCCCTTCCGAGACTATGTTGATCATTCAGGGAACCACGTGTTGAGCATGGCACGCCTGGCAAAGGATGTTCTCGCTGAAATCCCCGAGCAACTCCTCTCCTACATGAAGACCCGTGACATCAAGCCCCTTTCTGCTAAGCCACAGTAGCTCCGACCTCTGTCCAGCCTGAGCCAGTCAGATTATTTCTGCTCCAGCTGGGACTGGGATGACGGCTTCCACCGGGGGAACGTGGGCTGTTCCCACTCTTTCACTGGGAGCGGGCTAGGTCACCCGAGGGGTGGGTGGACATCCCTGTGGGGAAGCGGGCAGAATATGAGCGCCATGCCTCACTCAGGCCAAGCCACCAGCACGACTCCTCCCAGAATCTCAAAGAATGACCCCAAGGTTCATCAGCCAACCCTGGCAAGGGACACGGACCAGAAGGGGGTTAAGAAGTCTTGCTGCCCCCACCCCTGCCGCTGGGGCAGTATTTTCTTCAGGCCAAATTTGCTAAATCACGTGCCATTTGGCTCTATTTCTGCCTGGTTAATGACAATAAACCATTCTTGGCCCCAGGATCCCTTGTTTTGGCACTGAGTTGTTTTCATGATGGGGAGTTGTGATTTCTGGCTTCTTCAAGGTATATTTTCCAAGTAGGGGCAAACTCAAGCTAAAGTTTAGTACTGTTATTTATTTATGATGACATTTATATCATGCTTATTTTAATCACAAGAGCCTGGTCCAGCCAAGGCACCTTACTTCAGCTTTGGGGATATTTAGGAAGATATTAAACTACTTGTGTCAAAGATGATATCCAGTTTATTGAATACATACATACATACATATAAAATACAGATGTGGATTATGAATACACAGAAAACACCCCCCCCCAAAGGCTTACAGACATCCTCTTAGTCAGAAGGCTTCCTGATGTGCCATACATGCCTCCGCCGCCCCCCCCCCCCCCCCGGCACAGGTTCCTTGGATTCCTTGCATGCTTCTGGTTCCAAGTAAAAAACTGTAGAACAATGTCGGTTGCCATGGATCTCACACAGTTCCTCACTCTCTCCATGTTAGAGGCTGTCCTTATACACCAGCTAGCTCCCCTTTCTGGCAGATGAGGAAGGGAGAGTGAGAGGAATCCAAGGACTGACTATCCCAACTGACTCCATTGAAAGGGTGTGCAGGTATCCTTCTCTCCAAGACAAGGTGAGAAATCCACAGAACCTGCCAGCTTCTGTATCTCAGTCCTTCACTGAGGCCCGACAGCTTTCCCACAGCAATTAAGCCTCCACATGTTACGCCTGTACTGGACAGTGGAAACAGCTTACACTTAATTCCTTTTCACAATGTCTTCTAGTTATCAATCCCGATGCCCTCATTTCCCCCTCTTTACAAGGAGCCCAAGGTAGCTTTTAAGTGCTTCCTCCCTTTAACAAGCTTGTGAGGTCAGGCTGAGAATTAGTGACTGGCCCAAAGTCAGTCAGGGAGCTTGATGGTCAGTGGGGCCTGGAGCTGAGAATTCCTGACTTTCAGTCCAGCACTCTAACCACTATACCATGTTGCTCTGCAACTCAGCAGCGATCTTTCAATTCATGTTATGCAGATTACCAATATATCTTGCACACACTCAGTGCAAGATGTATTGCTAACCTGCAACAGCGATTGATTATATATTTATTTGAAGTATTTTCATTCTTCTCAGAAAAAAAAGGCTCCCAGAGCAGCTTACATATAATCAAGTAAGCAAGGTAATCCCCACCCACAGGTTTATAATCTAAAAAGCCACAGCACACAAAGAAAAAGGAGTGAGGAAGGAAGGAAGGAAATGTTTTAGCAGAGCTGATGGAATGGCTACTGCTGGTCACAATTTGTCAAGACTGGTTGAGATGCAGAAATTCCTGACAAGAAACAGCACAAGAAGGAGAAGGAAGGTAGGGAAAGGCGATTAGATCTTCAAGCAGAAGAGATCAAAGCCCTGGATGAAAGCTTTTCAGTATCCCTGTGCCATGTTAACATCTAAAGTAGGGGCTGGGGGGCTTTTTCTGTTAGGGCTGCATTTGCTTGAGTGCCATCTTCAGGGGCCACATGCCAGGGATGGTTGGGGGCAGAACCGTCTCTTTCTTCTGCCTCTTCTTCCCCTCTTTTTCCCACCCCCACCCCTGCTGCTCCGCTTCCTCTCCCTCTTTCTGCTACCCTTTTTTCATTCTCTCATGCACACTCTCCGCTGCATCATTCCCCTCTCTATTCTGCCATGCGTTTCTCTCCTTTCCGCAACCCCTTTCTTGTGTCTGGGGAGGAGGAAGAGATTGCTCTTGCCAGAGGTCTGAACTGACCATTTACAGAAGCCTTCTGAAATCAGGTCAAGGGCCGCAGGTTACCCATTCCTGACCTAAACAGTATCAATTTCCTGGCTATGCAGGCAGCTACTTCTTTTCCAAGCCCCATGAGCCAAAAGCTGCTTTCAGGGTCAGGATCCAGGCAAAATACACCTTCTGCCCAGTGGTGCTTGGGAGGTAATAACTGAGTGCTGCTGGATGAGTCTTTTACAGCCTGAGCCTGGGAGAATTTTATCTGCCCGAAGGATGGAAAAAATCTGATTATTTCAACCTAAAAGATGGTTTTGACCCAGGGAGCGGTTCTGCCCTGGAGCCCCTGCATAATCCCTCCAGGATTGCTATTTAGCACACAACAGAAATAGGTTGTGACGCTCCTTTGCAAGAAGCGTCAAGCAGATGGGGAGTGAGTGTTCCTGCTACAGGGTGTGTGGCCTACTTTATCTCCTTTGCCATGAAAGCGCAGCCTCGAGCCCCTGTGAATAAAATATGCGGCAGTGGCAGCAGCTGGCAAGATGCCCTTGCTCATCTGATACGGGTACGAGGCCAGTCCAGACAGCAAGGCCGTTTCAAATCCTCCACCATCACCCCACTGGTGACTTCTGAGCTCCCTTTTCCTCTTGACCCAAGAAGGCCCAGTTGCCTTAAGGACGGTTTACTCCTGTAAAGTTTCTTGTTGCAGGTAAGCAGTTGTTTGCCTGTCTTGGCAGTGATGACCTTCGGCCTTTGTAGGAGGCACAGATGAAAACTGTGTCAGGGGAACTGGTGATTCAGTCTCTTGACTGCCCTTCTCTTTTCATCTCCCAACTTTGCCTCTGTATCTCTCTGCTCTTTCCCAGCATCTGCCATGTTTGCCTTCTATTTTTTCATCCTATCTAGCTTTGCAGATGTAAGACTCAATGGTAGCCATGGTACAATGACTTTAGATACATGGCAGAATCTATTAGCAATTAGATACATGGCAGAATCTAGTCCTCATGATAGCACAGTGAAACTTGGAGAGCCTATCTTGAATTGCTTGCAAAAGAGTTGATGCATATTACCAGTTACAGGAAAGCAGAGGACATGTTTTGTATCCTATTTGTCAAAGAATTGGTTGTCTTCACCTCAGGTCAGCACAGCACTCTCCCTGCCAAGGCAGAGTTGCTCCTTGTCCTAGCCTGCACCCATGATGTGTCAAGCCCCAACTCTTTTTCTCAAATTGTATCCCAGAAACATGACAAAAGAAATTAGGACTTAAAATCCATCAAAACCTACTTAGCAAATTGGGTCTCCAAAGCAAAAGGAACACTTGGTGGGGTACACCTATGCAGACACAGAGATCCGCTGGATTGAATCACGGGTCCATGTAGCTCAGCGTTCCCCTTCTAGCAGTGCCCAGATGGATGCCTCCAGGCACCCCACAAGCAGGGCTCAAAGGCAACAGCCCCCTGCTGGGCTTATCTTTAGTCTGCATCCCACCAGAGAGATACTTCTTCTGATGGAGGTTCTTATTTGGCTCTTATTTTTCATTTTATTTTAAATCAGCAAACTTATACTCATTCAGTGGGAATAATAGTCACTGAATTCAGTGGAACTTTCATCTAAGTTACTGGTCATGGAATAAAAGAGGGGGGTCTCTTATGGATCACAAACTGATTAAAGAACAGCAGAGTGAGGATGTGAATAAATGGTAATTTCTCCCAGTGGAAAGATGTCACCAGTGGACCCCCCCAACACCCGGGTTCTTCCGAACTAGGACCAATGCCTTTCAACCTATTCATGAATGATCTGGCATAAGGAATAAGTAGTGATGTGGCCAGGTTTCCTGATGACACCAAACTATTTAGAATGGGGATGAACCATAAAGGATAAACTCCAAATGGATTTCACCAAGCTTGGGGAATGAGCATCGAAATGGCAAATGCAGTTCAATACAAGTCAGTGTAAAATAATACATATTGGGATTAAAAAATCCCAATTACAAGAATGCACAGATGGGATCAGAACTTACAGTGGCGAGCAAGGAAAGGATCTTGGGGTAGTAGTGGACAGCTTGATACAAATTTCAGCCCAGGGTGTGGCCATTATATAAAAAAAAGGCTAACTTCATACTAGGTATAATTAGAAACAATACAAAACAGAACTGCAAAGATGGTACTTCTCTTGTACAAATCCTTGATGTGACCACACTTAAAAGTTTTGCTGTCAGTTCTGGTCACCTTACTTGAATAAGAACATTATCAAACTGGAAAAAATACAGAAAACAACAATAACCATGTTTAAGGGGCCAGAGCATTTCCACTATGAGCAGTGGCTACAAAAATTGGGAATGGTCAGCTTAGAAAAATGGTGAGTAAGAGGATACATGATAGAAGTGCTTAAAATTATGTGTGGAGTAGAGATAATGGAGAGGGCGACATTTTTCTCCGTCTCCCACAAGACTCAGACCTGGGGTCATCCTATGAAGTCGACTGACGGAGGGTTTAGGACAGACAAGAGAAAGTACTTCTTCACACAGTGTATAGTTAAACTGTGGACTTCCTGCCATGGGAAGTGGTGGTGGCTGCCAATCTGGATGGCTTTCAAAAGGGACTGGGCAGATTCATGGAAGAAGCAGCTATCAGTGGCCGAGTGCTGCCTCCTTCCCCAGGGGTGGGTGGCATGTCAGCACACACCCGTTGCTGTGGAGCTTGGGCAGGAGGAGGCCTTGCCCCCATCCTGCTTGAGGGATCCCATGGGCAGTCTGGATGGGCCTTCGGTCTGACCCAGCAGGGCTTTTCTGCCGTTCTAATTTTTCTAGCATGGGTTTCTAGTCATTATCACTTTGGCTGACAGTATTTTACTGACATCAGGTCAGGAGGATTCATTCATCAGTCACTAGTACAAAGCTAAGAAAAGGCTGGCGTGACAAAAGAGCCTTCCCTTCCTGCTTCCCTTGGAAAATCACAATTTGGGTAGAAGGGCCGTGATTCATGTGGAGAAAGACACTCTGATCCTGCACTTCGATGGGAGTGAGCCCCATTTGCCTGGTGTTAGTCACCAACCAAATGGTCACAGGATGTTCCAAGCAAACTGCATTGTGACGGGGACTGCTTGGCTCCGCTGCCACTCCTGTAATCAGGCGTCTCTGGCTAGAGCTGCAGAAGCAAGCGCAGATGCTGGCAATGCCACTTGCCCAAACAAGTCAGTCCGAGGACTCCCCTCCCCACTCACACCATTTCAAAAGCTCTTCACAACTGTGACACGCCAGGCAAAACTGTTTTTAGACCCGATTGTGGCATGGCAGGGCAACTCATTTCAAATTCTAGGGAATACTGCTGTACTGGAAAATGTT